TGACTTACTTATTTCTTGTTAATACATTGGAGAACACGGATCAGTTCTGCTCACCGCCTTTGATGGCACCAGACCAAGAGGAGTGTCACCGCTGAGACAAGCTGCTTCTCAAACTCAACTAAGGACCCACGCTCCAGGTGTCTTCCTCATCAGTGGCAACAGGAGACCGTTTTCATCACGGTTTTGGGCTCAGATTTTGCCATCAGATAGGCAGAACCCTTTCTTAACTAATGCGAAGGCTGGGAGCTCCCAGGGTACTCAAGCTACGTTCACGTCAGTGCGTTTACACGATGGGGACTCGCATTTGGGTCTGATGCCCCCTCGTAGGAAACGTGAAGCAACAGGGATAAGTAAATGCAAAGAGTTACAAGCAAGGGGCTTCGTCAGAGGGAAGAGGCATGAGCGAGGGTGATGCATTGGAGATGTCTGCACAGCAGAGGGCACTCTGAAATTACATATGTCGAAGGGAAAATTTATCGAATTATTGGGGCTGGAGAAAGATCTAGGAGAGCTGGAGGAGTGGGGATTTCGCCTGTAAACAAAGAATTTTTAACCTTTATGCCACCACATAAGGGTGACTTTAAAATACTAAAGCCTGTATTAGAGCAACAGAATATTTTACTAACAAAGTATTTTTGAAGTCTTGAAATCAGCATCAGTCCTTGCAGTGTTTAAGTTTTGGCTTGATTTACCTTTCATTTATGAAGGTATAACTTAGCAGCAACTTTGTTGGAGTCAGACCCGTTTAATCAATGTTACATCTGGCCTTTTGGGTATCTTAAGCTGTTACAGACCACTCTGCTTTTCTGCAAAAAACAAACTTCACAGTGTAATCATCTTTCCTGGAAAGCTATGGACATACGGGCACCCGAATGAGGCAGGGAGCACCAGGAAATTCCTTTGGGTAAAATCCCTGTGCTCTCCAAGCTACCCTGAATAAATAAATGCCCACAATTGCAGGGACCGCGGCAGCCGGACCTTTGCTGGCAACCGCACCACTAGAAGGCAAAAGCAAATCCGCAGAGGACCAGATTAGCTCTCTAAAGCCCCTGCTTCCAGCCCTGGAAACACTCCCCTGGGGCACAGGGCATTGCCACCCTCGGCTCTGCCGACAGATTTCGCCTCCATCGTTGTGAGTACAGTATCTTTCACCACTGTTAGCATTTAAGATGATTCCCTGCTTGCACTCCAGCAACCTAGCCATGTAACAGCAAACCCAAAAAGGATGGTTTTTTGGATAACAAACCCAAAAAGGATGAAATCTGCAGGAAAGTGCAGGACTGCCCAGTGGGTTCAGGCGAGCCCTGGAGCAGGTCGAATCCCGCAGGTTTCCTGGGGAAGGGAATCCTGGAGGTGGAGGGATCTCTGTAAGTCAGTCCGAGGATCCCAGCTCAATAACAGAGAGACAGATAATAGCATTTGAACACTATCTTCTCCAATTCAATTGTATTGATTTATTGCCTGTCCAATGAAGCCATCAAGTGTACAAAATGGTTAATCTTATTTTTTTTTTTCCTGCTGTCTTCTCAGAGGAGTGAAGTTGTAAACACAGACCCATGCAAAGGCAGCAGGGGTGGAATATTTGACTTTTTTTTCAAGGCAGCTGTGTCTATGCAAAGTGAAGCCCATTTTAACACAGGGCAAAGGAAGGACACAAGCCCTTCCCACTTCGGGCTCCCACTGCAAAGCTGCTCCACCTGAACGGTTTGGACTTGCTGACAAACCTCGCCGGCATCACTGCGCTGGCTCAACCTCTAGGAGCCGGCCGAAGCATCGGCATCCCCAGCCTGGGCAGAGCCTGCCCCAGTGCTGTCCTGCCAGACCCCAAACCCAGCTGGGGGGATGCTGGGCTTCCTCCTGCTGATGCACAGGGCTTAGCAAGGCCCATCTGACCTGCACGACTTACCTAATTCAAAGCCTTACGCCTCTAAGGGAGGGAAACTATATTCCAGCCCATACAGGCAGACCTAAAACACTCAGGAGATCGCTGTTGTTTGAAACACGCCACTTCAAAATGGAGGGCGGCACGTCCGGCTGGGGTGAGCGGGTCCCCGGCTCCGGCGCTGGACGGCTGGGAGAGAGGGAAAACGATTTATTTTTTAAAAAGTATCTTTTTTTCAAAATGTACATTTGCAATTAAAAGCTAAGTATGCTGTATATTTTATTAATGATGTGGGACAGCGAGGCATTTTAAAGCTCTCTTGTTTTGATGATTTTTTTTGGAGGAGGAGGGGAAGGAATTGAAATGGAAAGCTTAACACTTATAATTTCAAAAATTTGGCTTATATTTTAGGTTCTGGTAACATGCAATTACAGGCACTTAGGAAGAATTCCCTTTTTTATACTATGCCCTAGAGCATAAAATTAAGAGGCCAATTCAGGCTTTGTACTGCTTTCAGAGGCAGTTTGCTTCAGCATAGATCAACATGGAGACTGACTGTCGCCTTTCTATTGAATTAGGTCTATATTTTTGACAAGTATGGCAGCAGTATCATCACTTTAATCACCAACAATCCATTGTGTCTCTTTATGCTAATAAATAAAACATTCTGTGTTAAATATTTCCCAGTAAGCACTTGAAGACCTGCAATCACCACTCCTTCTATATGTTCCCAAGTAAAATAATATAATGGTAATAAAATCAAATGATGTCTCGGAGTTTTATAGACAACTAATAGCAGTTATTGCAAAGTGCACATCAGATACCAATTGAAGGTTACATTTCTCTTTAATATAATATAGCATGCATATTTCACTAACTGTCTCTATATATCAAATAAATTAAACAATATGATGATATCGGTCAAAAACAGAGTTCTTTAGGAGAGGCCTTTAGGCAGAAGAGTTTTATGGGAGCTGTGTGTTAAGAGTGGGAGCCTCTGGAGCGCTGGATGCAAAACATGGGAAAATCATCCCAAGTTACAGAGAGATTGCCAGAGAAATCTCCTGCCCTTCCCGGCCAGCCTGTGCCCTCCTGAGGGCAGGGCCAGCCCTCTCCCTGCGCTGGGGCTTTGCTCAAGGGGTTGATGGTGGCAAGGGCCTCGCAAACCATCACAGAAATGGCTGGGAGGCACCCCCAGCCCATCACCCTGTCCTCTGTTCTGGAGGAACACGCCGGTCTAAGACGGACTCCTGGAAACCTAATCACAAACCAGAGATGTAGGTCTTAGAAGAAATAGGACCATATCAACAGTGAGCAAACGAAGGCACCCGAGCATCCTGCCACACGTCGTCCAGGGGACTCTGCCAGCAGCTCGGCCAGGCCTCAGGGACAGGCTCCCGCCGCTCCCCGCAGCTTCCAGGGACGCAGTGTGTACCCATGGGGTTCACTGTCCTCACCACCCCACCGACTTCCCCTGCTCCCGCCATCCAGGTTACCCTGGACTCCCCAGATCCTCCTCCCCCTTGCTCCTTGGCCATTCCAGGGCTGCGCAAGCCCTGCAGCCCCCTTTGCCGCTGCAGCGGCTCCCCCCTCAGCACCCGGGCCGCACC